GAATGATGGGAACTAAACTTCCAGGAGACTAAATTAGCATAAGACCTCCAAAGTCAAGCCCTTGACCTGACCCATGGTTGTTACAGGACTTGAACGGAGAATGAGAATTTTAGAGGCCAAGAGATTAGTAGATATACTAATGGACAGATTGTCAAGTGGATCAGACAGACAGATATTGACAGACAGACAGACAGATAGATGGGGTGTGGGGGTATAGATAGATAGATAGATAGATAGATAGATAGATAGACAGACAGACAAAGCCATGTGAACACACACAACCCCTGTGCTCACACTCACACAGATGAAAAATGATAGAGGGGTGTGTGTAGATAGACGGGCGGGCAGACAGACACACAGAGATGGATGGATAGACAGATAAACGGGCAAACAGATAGATAGACACTCAGACAGATGGATAGACAGAGAGATAGATAGACAGACAGACAGACAGACAGATGTGAACACACACAGCCCATGACATCAGACCCAAACTCAGGTTCTCTGTGCGTGTACGGAAAATTCAGATGAAGAAGCCAATGACATGACCTGACTCCCTTTCGAGAGGGAAGCCCAATGCCAATCGGTGTCTCTTGGCGAATGGCTGGGGGGTTTCGTTGCTCATCCGTGGCCTACCTTGTTTGAGAAGAGCAGCTCCATCTCCTTGCTGCAGGCGCTGGACGTGCTGAAGGGAACAGAGGGGCTTTTATTGCATTCAAGGCCTTCTGGAACCTAGTCCCAACGGGATGTTTCTCATAACTTTCCTCGGAGGAGGAAGCACACGGCCTGAAATGGCAACAAAGCACAACTCCCCAGGGTCTGTCATGTCACAGGGAGTTGTTCCACCAGCACAATCCTCATGCGTGTTTCCTGGATCAAAATCGTGAAGGGATTTACCGAATGCTCAACTGGATGGCATTCTTTTCTTCTAGGAGGAGGAATGATTGATCCAAGGCAACAAAACACAGAAGCAGAGGCAAGAACAACCCCCGAGGCTGATGGCTCTAGATCCCTGTGTCTCAGACTCTGGGCCCCCTCTTACTTAAGAGCCACAATAGGAACCTAGAAGCTGGGACTTTGCCAATGCTCTTGGGAATGCCCCACCCTGGCAGTAGGGGGCGCTGAGGGGCAGGGCTGGTCTGGTCAGTGCTGACCCACAGCAACCCACCACCAGTGGAGGGAACACTGGCTCTGGTGGGAGTGATACGTTTTATATTTGCTGCAAACAGACGTTCTGTTCCTCCTATCCGTGGTGGTGAACCAGTTCACAAGCAGCAGCAATGGTAAATCTGCAAACACATTTAGAGTGACTTGTTCCCTGCAACAGGGGGTGACAGGCACAAACATGTACACACACACACACACACACACACACACACACACACACACACAAACATACACACACACACACACACA